AACTTATTTTAATTAGGTTTTTAATAAAAAAACATATTTCATAATATAGAATACTCAAGAGCTAAGCAAGCCTTTTGTCCTTATCTTACTGTGTTTTAAGAATAAGAGGACAATATAATACAGTTCACCTATTAGTTGGGTAACATTATATATGCAAGTCTATTTCATGAGTTTTGCTACTGAGATACACTTTTAGGAGAACAAGTACATTTAATTTTTGTTAGTTTCAATTTATAAAATACGTTTGCTGAAGAATAAAACATCCTCTTCATTTTTCCTATAAATCCATTTCAGCTCTTTGTGGACTGACTTTGAATTACATGACTTACTTTAATGCAGAACTGTATTCTTTTGACCTAAAATCTCTGACCTGTGAGATAAAGTGACATTGTTTCTGCTTGAGGACGGGTTCAGCTAATTGCTAAGTGATGGCTGTGACACAGCTGGTACACGGTTTTGTTCCCAAGGTAACTCTCTCATAAGAAATGATTCAGAATCAGTCATTTGTTTTATAGAGATACAGCAGGTGTTATGTGCTGCACACGGGGAAAATAGACATTTTTACTGAGAGGGCCATCTTCTCATTAAAATATCCTTTCATTCCTCTTTGTGATGTGGAAAGAACATTGTAGAATTACAGCAGGAAAAAACATAACGGATTCAATATGAAGGAGACTTAGGAATTTCTCCTTTGCTTAACATGAATTCTCTGGCATTCACATGGACTTATAAAACCATAATAAAACTGCAAAGAAATACCATTTTTCTCTTTTGCCACCAATAAAATCATACAGCCTTTCCCTACACTCATGAGCATTGGCTTACCAAATAGACAGAGCTACATTATATTTACAACAGGCAGCTGAGACCACCTTATTGTATATGAATGAAGATTTAGTTACTCTTCAAATTATTTTCTAAATATTTTTGAGATATGCATTTTTGGTTACAATACTTTCAAGCAAAAAAAATCTTCCTTTATATTACATCAGGAATTTTTAGCTGTGAAGAAAGTCTGTGATTGAATTTTATGAAATTGACTTTTTTCATACAGCTAGTTACTGTTATATCCAACCACAAACAGCATTAGCACAAGATCATATGAGACAGAGATGATCCTGTCAGATTCATTTAAAGCTATGGGAAATCCCTTCCAGATTTATTGCCATTTGACTGTTCAAAAAGTAATGACAATTTCTATATGTTCCACTGCAGTCTAATATTTCTTATCATTTCAATTACTTTCTTGACATTACTCTTTTTCCTTCAGGGAATGCCTTGGTTCCGTAGAGGTTCATGTCAAGGAGTGTATGGTGGGTAAGCCTCATTTGGCAGCCCAACTCCCTCAGGCCTCTCACCACCCCTGACAGCGGGACTGCAGAGAAAATAGCAAGGAGAGGAATGAGAAAGCTCATGGGTGGAGATGTAAGGCAGGGTGGTTGCTTACTAATTGACTTTGTGGGCAAAACAGGCTTAACTTGGGGAAAATTAGCTTAGCACATGGCTGATTAAAATAAATATGCGATTACTGGTTTGGTAGTAAAAAATAAAAAGGCAAACATTAAAACAACTCCTTTCCTCCCCCCTTCTCTGACTCAGCTCCACTCCTTCGTCCCTGACTCCTCCACCCCTTCTCTTCACTGAGCAATGCAGGGGGTGAGGGTCCTCCCCTCCTTCTTCACCATTGGCATCTGCAGAGCTATTTCTCACACTTTTTTCCTCAGTCCTCTCTCTCACAAACCGCTGTCCAGCATTTCTGCCTTTTTTGGCTACATTTCTCCTGAGGTGCCCCACTTGTTGTTACTGGGCTCAGCTTTGGGCAATGATAGGTCCTTGCAGAAGCCTCCACTGCTGCCCCACACCACCAACACCTTGCCACCCACCCGCAACCCAGAATGTGGCCTATCTGCCATGCAGTCAGGTCCCATCAGGGCAGGAATCCTACAGCAGAGCAGAATAAGATGTGCTGTTACTCAAAGACTGGTGTGGAGGTGAGGCAAAGGCTGGGGCATTACTGGTGCAACTGCACAGACTGTAGAGGCTTCTGCCTCCCCTCTGCCTCTCTTACAAAATACAACTTGTGGTATGCTGAGCTTTATTGAAACCGCCTAAAACATATCATGTCAGATGAGCAAGATGACCCTCAGCCTGTTTTGTAGAATTTACTGGATCTTTTGGCTCACTAAGAGGCTAATATTAAAAGCTTTGATGTTACTGCCAGAACTTGAAGTCTGCAATTCAGAGATTTGATTCCTTTGATAACTATCTCAAGTTAGAGTCTCTATAGTTGTAATTCTACTCTTGCATTTCTTTTATTTCCTTATTTAGAATAATGGTTTATTAAATCTTTTAGTTTTGTTCATCAAAGTGAAGGTTCTGTATATAAAGGCAAACAAAATTTTGCATTTGATGGCATCAAAAGACTTCTTTAAAAAAAAATAATTCAAAATTAGGTTTAAAATGTATTTTCAGTGCGTTTACAAAACAACCCAAATACGTGAAGAAAGCCTCCTTGATGTAAGATGGGACTTGGTCGTGGTTGGAGTTAAGGACTTCTAACAATCAATAATCATTTAAGTCAGTAAAATTACTTGTATTGATATGAATTAGCACAATCTATTGATTGATAACAGAAAAATTTATCACTTTGAAACACCCAAGAAGTCACAACAGCTCACCCTGTCAGGGTCATGGACAAGTCAGGGAATGACAAGACACAGCCTCCAGCAAGCAGGAGGCCCAGTGTCTCAGGGAGAGCAATGAGATGCAATGTACTCCTACACAGCCTGCTTTTGGGCCTCTGGCCATAACTGCCCACAATATGTAAGGAGGCTCAATTCAAATGCAGCTGAGGGTTAAATCTCAAGCCATTACTTGTCAGAGAAAATTCAGAGCTTTTAAAATACTGATTCTCAGCAAAATGAAGAAGCTCACACATAGCCTTCACAGCAAATAAACTCAAGACAACAGTTCTCCTAAGAGTGAAGTTCTTGATACTTACTGCTGCTGTTTAGTTTAACTGTTTGAGCTCTAAATGTTAAACAATTATTGTGAAGTACTACTCATCAGTAATACTTAGTAGTAATAGTTATCCTACTACTGAAATGAATTAGTCTGTGCATATAAAAGTACATTGATTTTATAATTAAAATCTGTAGTTACTTACCTTTTTGTAAGACGCCTGCAATTCTGTTATTCTATTGACAAAGACATTATCACTTATTGCAAAAGTCTTGGGCTTTTGCAAATAGCCTACATTAAAACAAAAGATTAAAGATTTTCATCCATTCCAGATGAATTTGTGTATTTGATTCTTTTTTTTTTTAATCTCAGTCTTGCTTCAGTCACTTAAAGACTATCCTGTGTTAGAATTAAACCATTATTTTCTAAGCTTTACATTTTTGATGTACTGAAAAGATCTAAAGATGCACTGTATTTAACCTTTAAAATACAGTAGTAATTTAATGAAGTATGGCCAAATTAAAGAGAGAGGTGAAAAAAAATTCAGCACAGAAAGGGGCTTCTGATATATGTCAAAAGAAAAACGAAACACTTTTAATTGACAGAGGAAGAGCCGGCTGGGTTTTACCCTGCTTGTTCTTACAGGGTTTATAAAATTAAGATTACGCCTCTGATTCTGCAAAACACCTTTGCAATTTAAGTATATCTGTAATCAAATTAGAATTGCAAAGCCCATTCTACATTCTGATTATCAGCACTGTTTCTTTCTTTCAGGGCAATCCCATCAGTAGAGACAGTCTGAAATATGTAGGGCTACGCACATTACGAATGGCTTAAAAAACCCTGCAGAAATGTAATTACATTAATGAATCCTGGTTAAAATAGGACTCCTATTGACTCAGCTTTACAACAGTGGAAGTTAGATTCTGTAATGGCCACATTTTTTTCCCCAAATGCACAAAGAAAACAAAGCTTTACAAATAAATAATATACAACTTGCTGTGTATTTCTATAGTTCCTTCTTTCCTTCTTAAAAAAGTTGAACGTTTTAGTACCATTTACAAGTTCTAGGATGTATTGATTCCTAAACATTTGATTTTTGTATAGAGAAAAATAATTGTAGCTGTACTGAGCTGTCATAGCATTATAATCCTGTGAATATTACTGATACACAGGACAAATTTTCTGCCAGTGCCCCTCGTGAGGCATTGATGTTGTAACTCTCTTAATATTTTTAAATCACTAACCTTTATTTTGAGCTGCCTTTTGGGTCATCAAATATGTATTATTACATGTGGGCCCTATTATTCATTTCAACCTATTTCCACATTCATTTCTTTCACTTCATTTGCCATTTGCTATCTTTTCCATTTTAGCTCAGAGCCATTTTTTTTTATACTCATTGTTACCAATGATACTGTGTTCAGTGGAGTCTTAAAGCTCAACTTTACCTTAGAGCATTGCCCAGCTGATGTGATCCAGCCAAGAAAATCAATGCATTAATTTTCTGCAGAAGACTGAGAACTGTCTTGATATTTTTGATATTTTTTTCTTTTGCTTGTCATGTATGTAGACCATTGTGTTCTATGGTGGTTTAAACTGTAAATGAAAGTAAGCATATTTTTACCTTACAATGAATTGACCAGAATCATAACCAGTCTCGAAACAACCCTGTTGGGACAGCACACTCACACAGCTGAACAGTGGACTGGAAAACTGAGTCAGTTGGATTGGTAGACATGTGGAAGGGAGATGCTGCATAGCCAGAAGTCTGCAACTGAGAATACAGTCCAATTAATCTAGTACAGGAAATTAACTACAAAAAGTTAAACTGCCATCAGTTTGTAGTGCAGCAATGTAGTCCAGAGGTAAATCAACATTTCAGTATAAGAGAAGCACTTACATTTGGGTACTTAAGTAAGTTAAACAGGTGGATACAGACTAAGGAATTAAGAACTGATACAAATGGCCAGTATACAAGAAAAGACCTGACATGTTTTGAAATTACTGTAATAATGATGTTTTTCCTTCTTTTTCAGTCTCCAGGTGCCAGGACTTCTAGGACACACTAAGTTCATGGGTCACTCTGAAAGTAATGCCTCTTATTTATTTCCATAGGAACCTCAACAAATACAAAGAGCACAATAATTCTATTTGACAGAGAAAATTATCAGCTACAAAACACTAGTTTGAGACATAGTCACCACCACTAGCTATGCTGTAGCAACGAACAAGAGCCTGCATGTCCTACTCATAAAAATCTGCACCAGTGGAGGTGACGTCCCATTTCACAGCTGCTGTGATGATGTTGTTAGTAAGAAAATGTTGCCCACACAATCCATCTTGCATCAGCCTGAACAGCTGGAAGTCAGAAGGTGCCCAATCCAAACTATATGGTGGGTGTGGTAAGACAATTCAGCCAAGATGGGCAGTGTGCTCCACGATCTTCAAATTGGTGTGAGGCCTGGCGTTACCATGTTGTAAGAGACTTTATCCTGGCTCTGGAAGTTTAATCCATAAGCTTAGTCAGCATTGCAGTGTAGTGGTCAGAATTGATGCTTTGTCTGGGTTCCAGGAAATCCAGAAGGAACACCCTTTTCCTATCCTGAAAGACTGCACATCACTTTACTTTCTGATAGATGCATCTTGAATCTGTTCTCTAATGGGGAATTCACATGTTGCTGCACCATGGACTGCTGTATTGACTATGGGCTTGCAGTGATTCAGTAGAGTCTGGGAAACTTGCATATGGTGTTCATTCTGTTCCAGTGTGAGCACTCATGAGACCCGCTTGAAACAAAATGTGCAGTATTCCAATGTTGTCACCATCATTTCCAATGCACCAAAGCTGATATTCCATCCCATACACGATTCTCTGGTTATAATCCACTGATCTGCTCCTTGTTTTATGATGTGACGACTATGCGCGGCGATCTAGAACATGACTTCTCTTTCTCTGCTGTCACTGCTGAAATGCAGTACCCACCACCTTCCTGTTAAGCAAGTACTGATGAATGTCAATGAGAGCCATTTTTTTTTTTTCTCATGGAGGAATTCTGTGATACACCTTTTCTTCACCCACACTCCCAAATCAGACACCATTCTGTCAGACTGCCCCACTGCTGCCATCTGTCACACAGCAACAACATGTAACAGAATACTGGTGAGAAGGTTCAACCTCTACTGCCATACCACCAAAATCCACCTCTGGCATCATGGGCCAGCATCATAAAATAGCAGGCATTACTTTTATAGCTTCCCTCATAGATGGAATCTTTAAGAAGATTAACAAATGTATCTTTTTTTTTTGCAGATAAGTTTTCCAGATGCATTATTAAACCTGACAGTTAATTTTCACTTGTGTATGTGCTATAAGATGTCCTTACATTTTCATTGTGATGATAGAGTTAATAAAAGTTACAATGCTCATTCTCAAGTGTTTCTGCTTATTTGACCAGAGTTCAGAGTTTGGCTGTATTCTTAATGTTGTAAAAAAAAACATCATGCCCCCAAGATACAAAGCCAAGTTCTACTATAAAATCATTGTGCCAAATCCAATTAGCAAAGATTTTTTGATGAATTAACCTCATCATTGCAGAACATACATTGCACCTGCTCTTCTTCTTTAGTGCCAGACTTTGTCCCTCCTGCAGTTAAATCCTAGGTTGTTTTGCTGTTTCCTTTCAGCTTACTTTTTCCTCCTTGTGTGTAGAGGTCACTATCTCCAGATGCCTAAGAATGTACTTTCTTATTTATATGTATGATCAGTCTCTTCAGTCTTTTCTTTCATCATTTTCAGTCCTCCATTTTTGCAGAACTCTGCAACAGATGTTTGATTCTTCCCTTGGACCCTGCTTTACTTCCAAGGAGCCTTGAAAATATTGCTGCTCAAGGCAGCAGAGAAAGACTGATCCAAGGAGCCTGATATTGGCTGAAACAGAAGGTTATTTATCAATCTACCTAGGGGAAGAGCATTAACAACTTTTATTTTCTTGCTTAAGGGATCTTTCTAATCACAGGGTATCATAGATCCCCCAGGATAAATATAAGTGATGGGCTTCAGGCAAGATAGAGGTCTGGACTGTAGATATGGCATAACTTGGCATGGTTGATCCTAGCCTGCTAATCTCACTAATTGATATTGTTCTCCATCTTTGGGTACCAAGGGGCTACAATATCCCCTACCCTCATCAGTCACTGTTGTTCTAGGCCAAATCCTGGCCTAGAGCATCAAAGGCTGTCTCTTTTGGTGCCATTCCTGAGTAAGTTGCTGTTGATGCCAGAGGAATCGCAGCCTTCCTGCTTTACCACCAGCACTAGTGGCCTCTACCTTGAGAACAGAGGCAAGTATAAGAAGTATCCTTTTCCCTCTTACTGATAGAGGAGAAAAGGAAAAAAACTTGGAACTCTGTTCTGGAATCAGATGCTTCATGATACTGGGCAGCAGACACAGAGGTTTGAAGTGTGAACCATCTGTCATCTCTTCAGCTGACAGCTTGCCACAAAAAGAAAACATCAGTGGCTGGAGAATTAGGTCTGCATGGCTAGCAGCCATGTCAGATGGACTGCTGTCTTCCAAGTAGAAGGAACATGACACAGCAGGGTCCATTTGTCTCCTGACCAAGATCAGTTCTGGGGAAGCATTCCTCTAGTTTTCTCAGCTCCTTCCTTGCTCTACAACACAGGCTCAGCCCTCAAAACCAGCGCTGTGCATCTAAGCTGCAGGAGGTTTGTCCTTACAAAACGAAGACACTAAACTTTCTTTGAGTTAGAAAGCTCCACTCTGGTGAAGGAGAGGGTAGGAAAACTTCAAAATTTCCCCTATGCAAACACCCAAATTTACTCTCTCCTCCATAGCAATATCAAAGACTTTACTCCTGTTCCCAATATATCAATTTCCACATCTGTAGCCACTCATTCTGGCTGTAGTAGACTGACCTGAGCAGAGTCCTTTGGGCCACAGATGTGCAAAGCACGTATGTGTGAAGGTTTTATGCCTAACTTTTAGGACACCTAGGAAAGGAGAAAGAAATAGGGCTCCATGGGACAGGGAGGATGTCTCGCTCCAATTTATAGGAGGGAGATGAGGTTCTTTTAATATCTGTATACCTGGCCTGAGATTAAGAAATAACGGTTCAAATGTTCGTCCAACCAGTTTATTACAAATCCTAATCAGGAAGAAGGGGAAGGAAAGGGGGGCGATAGAAAAGATAAGAAAGAAGCAAGAATTGCATAAAGTGAGGATACTCACCACCAGGATCCAGCAGCGACCCGTTGCACGACGTTTGAAGGTCCGAAGCAAAAGCAGCGGGGAGGGGTTGGGCAGCAAGCAGGTAGCAGGAAGAAGTCGCAGAGCCAAACCAGGAGGAAGCAGCAGCGGTCAGGTAGCAGGCCCAGGAGAGTCCGTCAGAGTGCAGGCATCACTTCGTGAGGAATCTGTTGTCAGAAATCCTTGTTCTTCTTCGTGAGGAATCTGTTGCCAGAAAACCTATCCTCATGGTTTTCGATTTCCCTTTTATCCTACTTGTTCTCCAGCCTAAGACAAGGAAGGGTCTTTAGCAAGAGTCATTGAGTACCCTGAGACGGCCATCATCTTGAGATAAGTCCACACAAAAGAGCACTTCACAGCTATTTAGATGCAGCTCATCTCTCTCTCCTTGCCCCGGACTTGTTCATCTATGTCCTTCAGACAAAGCATTTCACAATTCTTGCCCAGTACTTGCCTGGACTTGAACAAGTCATTTGTGTCCCCAGCAAGCTTTGAAACACTGATGTTAACAGAATATCTTACAGAGGATAATTCTCTTTCAGCAACAACTAGGAACAAAAAAATTGTTCTCCGTGGTTCTGGGCTTCTTTTGGTGCATGGCATAGTGTCCAGATTGTCCACAGGGGACAAATGTTCTCCTGCAGAAGGAACTCTGCTATTGGTGCCCTAGGAAGAGCAGCCTGTGGTGAACACAGCAACCTTTGCTGACCCAATCTGGGTGGACAGCAGCATTACATGAGCATGCACACAGCATGAACATAGGTTTAAAACATATCCCTTATTGTCCAAGAAGCTACACCTGAGTTATAAGCATACATTTCTTTCACACAAAGTAATCTGTCTGGCACAGAGCCCTGAACAAGATCCATCAGGTATCTCCCAGAATGATGGGGCATCATAGCCTCCAGAGTATGCTCACTGTCATGGAGAAGCAGCTGAAAAAGCAGCCTGCAGAAATGAGGAGGCAGATGCAGGCAAGAGGAGGATGACTAAGACAAACAAGGTACCATGTAGAACAAGATGATAAGTACCCTATGCAGTGATCCCATAGAGCAGTGTGGCTGGCACAAGACTACCAGAGCTCTTTCTGTCACAGCAGATTAATGGACCCACTCTGGGCCCATATGCTACAGGGCAGTGAGTGAACACCAATGTGGCCATGAAACCTGACTTACCCTAGGAGGAAAAGACTTGGAGTGATCTTGATGAGGGTTCCACTCTCCTGAGTTTGTCTCAGAATTGGGAATGAGGGGCAAACCCTTTGTTCCTGTCACAGCTGGCATGCCTGTACTACACCACTGAGTCACAGACAGACTTGATCAAGAATGAAGGTGGATGCCATGTGGTGAAGTGGAAGGAGACCCATTCCTAAAGTTAAGGGAGGCAGAAAAGACTGCAGAACTTGCACTGGAGTTGTAGCTATCATTAGGGGTAGGCAAGGAGCTAGTGTCATGAACACTGCTTCATCCAAGTGGCACCATGCAAAATTGGTAATGTTTGCTTCTTTCCTGAGCACATCACTGAGGTCACAGTGAGAGATGGCTTATTCTCTTCCAGGGCAGGCAAGTAGAATGATAGGGGTACTGTGTCTGCCAAGCCTGATCATATTGGAGAGATGTATGCACCTAACCAAATCGTTCCTTAATAGTACCATGCATGCACTAGGAGGAGGTGAGGCTCTTTTGTATGACATAGCAGGTTGCTATGCAGCTGTATGCCTCTGACTGCTTGTACTACTGCAGTTGCTATAGGAGACTATCAGATGAAGTGATGAAAGATTTCTCCCCTCACTCACTATGGCATATTGCCTGGCTTTGTGTATATGCATACCAAACATTTGATCTTAGTAAAAATCTGTGTCTGCTTTCTTCCTTCTCTGCTGCTGGAAACCATGGAAACCAAGATGACTCGTTTTTGCTATGGACAAAGAATAAAGGGATGGCCCACGGATGAGGCCTTTGCCAGCTACACTGAGCTAGTCATGCTCCTTGCAAGGAATACTCTCACAGCGCAGCATGTAGGAAAGAGTTAAGGCTTTATTTGCAATTTGATTATACTGTTATCTAAGTTACAACTCAAGAATATTGTTTGATAAATTGCTTGTTTCTACATACTAACTGTCAGGTCACCTAGATCTGTTGCACTTCTTTAAGTTTTCAAGGAATGCTTGCTCTTTAAACACACAGTAGGAATTGCATATACACCCCCTAGTCAGTTCATTTGTTGTCCAAAGGTTGCAAGGCTAGTACTTTTCTAGTCAAGGAACAATTGTTGTGATAAAACATTTTCAGGGCTGTAAACATACAAACAAAATCTGGTTTTATCTGGTAGAAATACTGACCAGCCACTGGGAACCAGGGTTACTAGAATAAACCAGCTTTGTGGCTGTATGGGAACTGCTGAATCATAGCCTGAACCTCTGATTGATCACCTGAGGTGAGCAATGAGTCAGCCATGGGAGCACAGGTGAAGGCAATTCACCTGTGCTGCTTGAAGGAGTGGAGCCTGGCTCCACCTCTCCTAGACCCATTTAAGAACTGACTACCAGAGGGAAAGGATCTCTTCTGGAGATCCCTTCTACTGGAGTTTCATAAGTGAGCTGAGGATACAGGTAAGTGTCCTATCTTTTCTGCTTTGGTGTAATAATTATGTAGCCAAGCTCTCTGATATACCTTGTAACTATAACATCTGTACATTCATTGACTGTACAGTGGTCTTGTTGATGTTCTAGTGAATTACAGAATCATAGAATGGCCTGGGTTGAAAAGGACTTCGAAGATCATCTGCTTTCAAAAGCCTTGTAGTGGGCAGGGTCATCAACCACTAGAACAGGCTGCCCAGAGCCATATCTAGCCTGGCCTTGATTGTCCCTAGGGATGGGGCATCAAGAGCACAACTCTCTCTCTTTCTTTTCTTTCCACTCACTGTGGGGAAGATCATTAAATGGTCACAGCTCTTTCTAGCATCCTCAGACTTCTCTTTTTCATTCCAACATTTTGTACCATGAAGAAAGCTAGCTGAGAAATGGAAAGAGAAACCACTGGACTCCAGCCTAGGCCTCTGATGACCAGGGACTTTGTGTTATTATCCAGTCTAAGAATCTGTTGTAACTCATCACAGAATTT